CGTGGAGGCCCCGGCCCAGCGCGTGGAGGCTGGTGCTTCTGGGACCAGCAGCCCCTCTGGGACCGTGCAAACTGCTGCTGTAGTTTGACATCGACCACATTTCCTAGTTCGTGTCCGGTTGCCTGCGGCCCAACCTGCACTTGAGTGCAGAGAATTGAACGCTGGCCAGAGCCTGCCTTAGCGTTTCGATGTGACTGTAAAACCAGGAGAGACCTGTCCCGCGTGGCGGGGGAAGGATGGGGTTTGTGACGTGTCTTGCCCGCCCTCCCCTGGGGTTAGCTGAGAGCGGGGTGCACCGGAGCCTGTGGGCTGTGGGGTGTCGTTTCGGGGGCTCACTCGGCGGCTCCGTCTCCGCAGGTACATGATGATGAGGGATTGCTGGCACGCGGTGCCCTCGCAGCGGCCGACCTTCAAGCAGCTGGTGGAGGACCTGGACCGGGTGCTCACGCTCACCACCAACGAGGTACGCGCCCTCGTGCCCGGCTCCTGGCCTGGCGCTCCGCGTCGTAAACACACCTGCCCTGTCCGAGTCCGGGTGCCGTCCATCCTCAGGCCAGGGGCCAGGCAGGGGTCAGGCAGGGGTCAGGCCAGGGGCCAGGCAGGGGTCAGGCCAGGGGTCAGGCAGGGGTCAGGCAGGGGCCAGCAGGTTCACCTGTGCTCTGCCAGGTCCTGGTTTTCCTCAGCTGCATGGTGAGCGTCTGACTCACACAACCAGAGCCTGCGGGCCGCCCCTCACCATGGCGTTCCGGTGCTGGGCCTGGGGCGTGCGTGCGTGTGTGTGTGTGTATGAATGTGTGTGCACACGTGTATGTATGTGTGCGAGTATGCACGTGTGTGGACACACACGTGTGTGTATATGTATGTACACGTGCATGCATGTGCACACGTGTATGTATGCATGTGCAGATGTGTGCACACATGTATGTGTGTGTACATGTGCGTGCACGTATGTGGATGCTGGTAACCGGGGTGTGAGCTGCTGATGCTCAGGTCCCGATGGGCGTGATGCGTGGAGGCCCCGCCCCTCCCGCTTCCAGACAACACGGGAGCCGTCAGTCCCTCCCGGACCCCGCCTGGCGTGGGAGTGGCTCGCGGCCTCACCCGTGCGCACGTATATGTCCACACGTGTCATAACGAGTGACCACTGGGATGTTTAAGGGAAAACGGGCACCTTTTGCAAAAATACTTATTTTCTAGAAAATATGTGGAATCGGTGCCCATGGCCCCTCATTGTCTGAACTGAGAAAGAAAACAATAGATTTAAATGTTTGAATAACACACGTCATGGCTTCAGAGTGACTACAAAACAAGCCAGCACCTTGTCGGGGGGTCTGACTGGCTGGGAGGGGAGAGGCTGCGCTTCAGGGAGCGCGGGTGCCCTGCAGGGGCCGAGGGACGGCCTCGCCGGGAAGCAGCCTTCTTCTCCCGCCCAGCGGTGTTCCAGTGTCCGTGCC